TTATTTTTCCATAAAAATAAAATTTTAGTGTAATTAATTTTTTTACTAAGCTTTTTTATTTTTATTTTTTATTAAACGACTTCCACATGCTCCGTTTATTCAACTCGAGCAAACATCTTTCTAGTTATGTTTTGTCTCCACTTTTCTAAAAAAACGCTTGATAAAAGATTGTTCCAAATCGAGCTTGGTTATCTCGTGAATGACCGTTTTTCGGTGTAAGTAGTAATTAATAATTTTTACCAATTTTTTTCACCATACTTGCATAATTTACTCGTGGGTCGATTTGAATTATTCATACGGGTATTGGTAAATTTAAATAAATGGTAAAAATTGATATTTTCATTGTAATTTAAATTGAAAGTTACCACATCTAATATTGATTTAATTAATTTTATTTTTTTAAATGTTTAAAAATGATGTGAGTTAATGGGCCGAACCCACTGGATGAGTTGGGCTGAATGGAAACATGGAATCTAATGGGCCAAGCCCATCTTCAAATGTCCAAGTTGGTGGTGAGCTCATAAGGTTGCCTTAGAGTATTTAATTAATAATTTTGTTTTAAAAAATTCATGTAATTTATAATATGCTGGAAAATTAAAATTCTACACAACCATTGTATCCAATAATTAAAAAGAAATATTTTTTATATATAAAAAATATATTATTTGGTAGAATGAACAAAATAAGCACTTTTCTCGTTTCATTTGATAAATATTGTTTAATGAAAATTTTTATATTGAAAAGATTGGTTTTTTTTTTTAATATTTTAATCTAAAAATAAATAATTTGGTGTAATATATATATATATTAAAAAGTTCTTTAAATTATTTTTAAAATTTTAAAAACACGCTCAAATAATTAGTTTAAATTTAAATATTTGATATTTAGAATAAATATTTAATTAGTTAAGTAGGTTTAAGTGATACTCCCATTCATATTTATATTAATATATTAATACATACATTTTAAGCCACGTCATCCATATATTAAATAATTGATGATGAAATAATGTAAAAAAAAAACTATTATTTACTTATTTATTTATTTTTCTTTTGAGAAATTGAGAAGGGAATTTGGAAAATGATATATATATTAAAGAGAGGAAAAGGAAAAAATAAAAAATAAAAGGAAATAAAGGAAAATAGAAAAAAGAAAAAGAAAAAGAAAAAGAAAAAGAAAAAAAGAAGAATTAAAAAGGGGAATTAGAAAAAAGAGAGAGGAAATAAGGGAAAAGGGGAAGGGCATTCTCGTAACATTAAGTTAATTAATTAATTACTTTATCAATTTTGACGTTTTATGACTCGTTAAATGGATAAAAGCACAGAAATACCTTAATCGGTTCGTTCTAATTTCATCAACTTTGCCTTATTATTTATGCATAATATAAATTTTTATTGAATTTAAAGGATTCGAGATGCTATAGGTAGTGACTGGATTGTAAATGGACTTTTGTTTGAGGGACTCTATCAGCTGCACATTTCTATTTGGTTACTCGGTTTTTATGGACTTGTTGATTGTTAATGTAATTTAGCATGTTTATACTTCGTTATACACACTATAGTACCCTGATCGTAATTTTAAGATTATGACCCACCTAAATAAGTTAATACGAGAGTTCTATTAGAGGTTAGCTAACCTATCTCTAATAGCGAACTTGTCTTGCGAGGAAAAAGACCACATAACATCATGCAACAAACAGAGGCACGATGTCCTCTCCTTTTGATTATGTTATCATATACATTGTGATGACTATTAAAGGGTTGTCAGCTAACCATAGTGAACTATCCACATAGACGAGATTTGCATTGGTATTAACGAGTTGGTCGTGTTACAGTTATGCTCTAGATGAATATGTCATGGTATGCCGTTAGGTTTGATTCAACCGGATTCGATTTCAATTTTCGGTTTACTTGGGTACTCCTACGATTCGTATTCCTAATCATACATATTGTTGAACTAAAAAAAAAAAAAAAACATCAAACAACACGAAAGATTTTTTTACGGCAGTAAAAGAAGTTACAAATTTTGAAGTAAAGAAACTAAATCGTTATATAAAAAAGGATAAAATTATTATTTTCACAAAAAGTTCATAAATAAAAAAATATATTTTAAACATTTTTTTTATATTAAAAAAAAGGGATTTAATTGACATGATGTGGTTTTGTGGGAAGCCGTAGCCTAGTGCTTTGGGCCCGACCAACCACACCCAAAACATAATTATCGGGTTCTTTTTTTTTTTTAATTCTTTTTCTTTTTATCGATTTTCGGTAATTCTTTCCGTAATTTTTAACCATTTCCAACGGCATTTTCAAAGTCGCGTTTCGAATTTGAATTTTAGATTTTTTTCGAACATTTAAAATAATTTCATTTTTTAAAAATATAATATATATATATATATATATTAGCCAAAATTTTAATTCACCCATGTGATCCTAATTTTTTATATTTTTTCTAAAAAAATTAGACATTTACAGGTAAAATTCAAATTTATATCAAATTTAATAAAATTAAAATTTTTTTTATATATATATATATATATATAGTTTAGTTAAATTTTATATATATACAGTCATTTTTTAATGTTGGACTAAAGGCTTAAGTATAAAACAAAAATATTATGATTATTATTATTATGTTTTGAAAAGGGTGTAAATGTAATGCTGCTTAATGGAATCCGTTAACATTAAGGTCGGGATCAAGAATAGTTTAAAAAGTCGAAAATGAGGTTAAAGTAAACTGACGGCATGAGGTAAAAAATCGATGTTAGGAAGAATCAGATAGAATCGACATGACGACAAATAATTAGTAGACCAAATAAACAACAAATCTTATTATTAACTAGGTCTTACCAAATTTGGCTCATTAATGGAACATTAACCAATATTTTATTTATTTAACCCCAAATTATTATTATTATTATTATTAAATAATACAGTAGGTGAGTTTCATAAAGGAATTAGGTAAAAGAGAAAATCGGGTGCGTTTGAAAAAAAAACATCTCGTTTTATTGCATTATTTTTCAAAACTACTAAGTTAGATGTCACAATCCATGACAGATTGTGTCATCGAGAAAGTCATTGAGGACAATGACTTTGAGCTTCGATTTCTCTTAAAAATTGTCTTAAGCGTGTTAAGATCACGACACTGCACGGTTAAAAATGTACGATCGTGACATTAGACACACATATTATGTAAAAAAAAAAAAAAAAAAAAAAAAACTATGAAATAGTTTGGTTCTTGAACTATTTTTTAGTCATTTTCCATTTGGNATGATTTTTTTTTTTTTTTTTTTTAAATGAGTGCCACTAGAACGTTCAGAAAAACTTATTTCTTATTTTGAGCGTTTACTATGTTCACTAGATAATATACTAAAAAATAAAAAAAAAACATACTCTAATGCGATCCACTTTTATTTTTTTATTTTTTTATTTTTTTATTTTTTTATTTTTAAAATTAAAAGTAAAAAAAATATATTGAATGTACCATACTTAAAAGTCAAAACGATGTTTGACCTCTACCGTACTTAAATATAACACGTCACATTGAAATTACGTTTGGCTTAAAATATCTAAATTATAAATTAATCTAAAGAAATATGAGAAATATATATATAAAATAATGTTTTGATGTGATTTAAATGGAGTAACAATAATGCTACCAAATAAGTTAGTTATATATAAATTTTAACAAATTCTTAAATTACCTCAAAATTAAATGTGCCCTTGCCCCACAAATTATTCTCCATCTTGCCTCACAAAGTCAACGAATCTATAATAATAGTCAACCTTTATTTATAAGATAAAGTTGATTAATAATAACTACAAAATTATTTATATAATTTTATTATTACAATATTATTGATTAAATTTCTTTTATTAATTGGGTGACAATGATTTTATTATTTAGATTGTCCCGATTAATTAAATTTTATATTTTTTTTATTAAAATAACTTTTTTTTAAACCGTTAAAAAAATAAAAATAATGAAGCAAATTTTTAGGATGAATAACTGTAATTATAATAAAAGAGAATCATAAGATTATGCTTTATTTTTGAAAATCCAACCATAGGTAACATCATTAGCATCTTTACTTTATACCATAGGGAATATATTTTTGTGATGGGCATTTTGGGAACAATCATTATTATTATTATTATATTTTTATAAAAGTTTAAGATAGGCAAAAATTCTACATACATTTGTTTTTTATTTATTTTTTTATTCAATTAAAAATTCATTTATCTTCCTTGAAAAAATAAAACAAAATAATTATTTTTTAATTGTAGTTTTACAAAATTTTAACTTATTAAATAATTATTTTAATCAGACTCATCAAAAATAATAAAAAATGTTTAATAATTCTATAAATTTTTTAAGTTTTTGTTTAATTTTAAGTGAGATCTTATATCGGTTGGGGAGAATAACGAATCACCTTAAAAATGCAGAAACTTCTTTCTAGTAGACTCGTTTCGAAAATTTTGAGGAAAAGTTCGAAAGGAAAAGCCCAAAGAACATAATATCTGCTAGCGAGGAGGCTGAGTACCGAAGGGAGCAAACATGAGGCGATGTATTAATAAGGACGGTCGTCCTTGAAGGGAAGTGGATTTTGTGGGTGTACCACATCGATTAGAGAAAAGAACGAATACGTGTGAGGATGTTGGGCTTCCAAGGAAGTGGATTGTGAGATCCCACATCGGTTAGAAAGAAGAACGAAATATTATTTATAAAAGTGTGACAACCTCTTTCTAACAGCAACGTTTTAAAAAGAAGTTAGTAATACTTAGTCACGCTTGGTCACGCTTAATAGGGTGGTCAATTCAGGTCCCATAGCCCTCCTTGTGGCCGTTGCCACCGTCGCTATTCAGTGGCAATTCCGTAATAATTCACTTTCTCGTACCCCAAAACTCAACAACGTTCCTTCTCTTTTAGCCTTCTCCTCTGTCACTTTTTTTTTTTTTTTTTTTTTTTTTTTTTTTTTTTTTTTTTTTTTTTTTTTTTTTTTTTTTTCTTTTTTCTTTTTGATCTTCATATCCGTTGAATCCTCATTTCACAATCTTTCAACTCCCTTCTTCTTCTTCTTCTTCTCCAAATTCATTTTTCCTGCAAATTTTCATATTTTTCTCAACAACCCACGTTCCATCTTCTCTTCTGCTGCTTGTTCTCATTTCACCTCGTTTCGCCGGGAACAATGGCGGTTTCCGGTAGCAATTCGACCCAGATTCATCCCTCCGACGAATCTTCCTCCAGTTCTTCCGAGAGTTCACTATCCAACTTGAAAGTCTACGCCGCGATCGGCATAATTACTGCATGTGTGATTGCAGCGTCTGCTCTGATCTTCCTCTGTATCCGTAAAAATAGGGACTCGAGGAAGCACAAAATGCGGGTGAAGCATAGTTCCGGATTAATTCCATTGTTCTCCAAGGAGATCGCCGAGATCAATGAGTCCGATCGGAGTGTGGATTGCGAGAAAGGGGAAGTCATTAGGGTTGAGAATAAGAAGGAAACTGAGTTCGAGACTGGAGTAGGTAAGAAGAGTCAAGAGAGCGACGTGTCCGGCGGCGGTCGAAGCGATGTGCCGGTGGAGGATCAGAACTTAGGGTGGGGACGGTGGTACACCTTGAAGGAACTCGAAATTGCCACCAATGGGTTTCTGGAAGAGAATGTTATTGGAGAAGGAGGCTACGGCATCGTGTACAGAGGCGTTTCGCCGGACGGCTCCGTCGTCGCCGTGAAGAATCTTCTTAACAACAAGTAAGTGAATCAACGACATTCGCTGTAAGCCATTTCAGAGAAACTCTGCATTGTATTTGGCAATTATTCGCTCTATAATTTACTCGAAAATGAAGAATTGCACGTCATTTTTGTACTTCTCAATTGTTTATTGCCATCTTGGTGGGTGGATAGTGGATTACAAAGATTCAACCATTTCATATTTGTTTATTGTATCTTGTTTTCAGGGAAAACTGTGTTGAATATCACTCTGTTTTGTTTATTAAATTCCCTGTTCTGCTGCTGTGTTCATGCTTTAGTCTTCATTTTTCTTCCATTTTTTAATTTCCCCATGAAATTCTTGCTTTGACTGAAGAAACTTGGATCCGAACTTATTGGTACTATGTCGGTAGTGGGCTTCCTTTGTCACTTTGTTCTTTACTGCATTGGTGAATTCTCATGAATTATCAGCAAATTTTTCTATTTCAAATCACACAACTTCACCATATCGCTTGTGATCGTTACTTTTTCTTTTCTTTTTCTTCCTGGTTATGGGTAGATTCTCTCTCAGAAACTAATATGGCCTACTTGATGGTGCTTGCTATATTTTAAGTTAATGTCTTAGGGCCGGTCTGGTAGGCAATCTAGAAACAAAAATTTGCATAATGTGATTCAATGAAAACAAAGTTGCATTTCATGTTTTACATATGTGTTCGGTAATAGATTCACGAATTGAATCCCAATTTAAACCATAAAACTAGTCGTAGTAGTTACCTATAACACCTAAATCCACATCTAGCAGATATTGTTCGCTTTAGCCCGTATCGCCGTCAACCTCATGGTTTTAAAACGCGTCTATTAGGGAAAGGTTTCCACACCCTTATAAGGAATGTTTCGTTCCCTTTTCAAACCAATGTGGGATCTCACATTACCACTAAACATTAGGCTGAATATAAACTATCCCTTATGATTATGTTTATGTTTAAAATTTTGTGTAATTGTTATTTTATAATATTATATAATACATACTTTAGTTTATTAAAAATGAATTGAGTTTATAGCATGAAATCATGCTATATTTGTATGATCTTTTTTTTAATATAATGTTTTTCATAATTTGCACTATTTGGATAACAGAATCGAGAACAGTTCTAAAAACATCCCCAGACAATGAATCGAATAGCAGAAAATAGAATGCAAATTGGCTACCAAACGTACCCTTCACTGTTTTCATAATTTTCTTACAGGGGTCAGGCAGAGAAAGAGTTCCAGGTTGAAGTAGAGGCCATTGGAAAAGTAAGGCACAAGAACTTGGTGGGTCTGATGGGTTATTGTGCAGAAGGAACACAGAGGTACATTGTTTTTTGAATTCCTTCAAAAGTTAACACGTGAGTCCAATAAAATAAACTTAACATCTGGGATTTTGTGGCCATTTTAGGATGCTTGTGTATGAATTTGTTGATAATGGCAACTTGGAGCAATGGTTACATGGTGATGTGGGGCCTGTTAGCCCTCTAACATGGGATATTAGGATGAAAATTGCCCTTGGAACAGCAAAGGGGTAAATTGTTTTACATTGACATAGAACATCTGGTCGTATTGGAAGTTGATTGTAAATATGTTTTGGTTGTGTTTTTTGTTGCTGATTGACTCATTTCAATAACAGTTTGGCGTATTTGCATGAGGGTTTAGAACCGAAAGTTGTGCACCGTGATATAAAATCTAGCAACATTCTCTTAGATAGAAAATGGAATGCGAAAGTGTCTGATTTTGGACTTGCGAAGCTCTTACAACCTGAAGCGAGCTACGTAACTACTCGTGTTATGGGGACCTTTGGGTATGTTTCTATGTTACTACATTCTATCCAGTTTTGCAACTTCAGTCATTCTGGTTTGCTGAGGTACTTTGTTGTGCTGTAGATATGTTTCACCTGAGTATGCAAGTACAGGCATGCTTAACGAGGGGAGCGATGTATATAGTTTCGGAGTTCTACTTATGGAGATAATTACTGGCCGAAGTCCAATTGACTATTCCAGGCCCCCAGGAGAGGTAAGACCATTACGCTTGCTCTCAGCACCATGTTAAGCGAAGTTTCTCCCATGTTTCATACCTAATTAAGTTTTCCAATTTAATTTACGATGATTCCTGTGTGCTAGAGAAAATAGGTTTTTATCTTGTTTAGGCATTTGGTGACTGTGTTTGCAGATGAACTTGGTGGACTGGTTTAAAGGAATGGTGGCAATTCGGCGTGGCGAAGAGGTTGTCGATCCGTTGATTGAGATTCCACCCCCTCCAAGAACTCTAAAGCGAATGTTGCTTGTTTGTCTACGCTGCATCGACTTGGATGCCAATAAAAGGCCAAAGATGGGGCAAATTGTTCATATGATAGAGGCAGACGACTTTCCTTATCGTTCGGTAAGCACTGTTGTCCACCTATACTCTTTAAATTATTTGACTTAAGATGTGCTGATTGTCATCCTAGTTCATCTACATCAGCTGTTCTATCTAACCCCTCATTTCCAAAGTTCCAATAAACCCAAAGAAGATAATGCTTTAAGTATCTGAATAAGTTATCGGCTCGTGTAAAATCTAATCGATTCAGTGACGAGTTATTTAGCTAGACCTTTCTGTATACAGTCCAGAAAGTTATCTTAAGGGAGAATATGATGGTTTCAATTGTCAATTTATGTAGGTTAGTTGTGTACTGGTGGAATATGAATGATATTCTATCATACTATTGCAAGCCTGATGTTCTCAGACATCAATCACTATTCCAGAACGTGTTCAAATAAGAGAGTGAATCTTTTTTTTTTTTTTTCCAGGAGCTTCGATCCGTGCGAGAGAAAGATAACCAGCCTTCTAGCTTAGACGTGCCGAGTAAACTTCCAATGAAGCATGCTGGTATATAGAGGACATGGAAGCAAGAAAGAGATGAACCTTATTGCTGCAAGAAAGAAGCCAGTTCTTCCAAGAGGTCAGATTATTTTGTACTATAATTTCTTCTCAATCAGTTTTCGAAAATCTAATACGAGGCAGCGCGGTGTATATCGATTATTTGCATAATGTTTGTGCTGTTGTATTGGTGTTTATGGTTCTCTACAAACTTAAGAAGTGAGCGTTTCTTTTGTATATAGGATGTCCTATTTTTTATATATGAAATTTGTAGGCTTCTTGCAATGATTCTCTATGCGTCTCTGTTTGTGAAATTTTGAAGTTTATTCAAGAACTCTTGGGTTCATTCCCATTCAATGTTGAACTTGTTCAACATTTAGTGAAAATCATTGCTTTGTATCATCAACTTCAACTTTGATTGGAGTGCTCGCTTTCTACTAGCTCAATACCTTTGATCTACGTATTAGATCTATGAAGGAACGCTAAAAGCGAAAATAGTTGTCTCGAGTCTATACTGACACTAGAGTGTGAATATATGATTTTGAATTGTCGCCTATTAGTTTAGTTAGCGTGACATGTCATCTTGAACCATAATAGTTCTTTGAGTCTATACTAATACTAGAGTGCGAATATATGATTTTGAATCGTCGCTTATTAGTTTGTGGTGTGTCATCGTGAACCATAATAGTTCTCCGAGTCTATACCGACACTAGCGAATGTATGATTTTGAATCGTCGCCTATTAGTTTAGTTAGCGTGGCATGTCGTCGTTAACCATAATAGTTCTCTAAGTCTATACCGACACTAGAGTGCGAATATATGATTTTGAATCGTCGCCCATTAGTTTAATTAGCGCGACATGTTATCGTGAACCATAATAATTCTTAGAGTCTATACGAGACTAGAGTGCAAATGTATGATTTTGAATCTTCGCCTATTAGTTTAGTTAGCGAGACATGTCGTCGTCAACCATAATAGTTCTCTGAGTCTATACCGACACTGGACTGCCCATATATGATTTTGAATCGTTGCTTATTAGTTAGTTTGCGTGGCATGTCGGGTTGCCTAGTTGATAGCTTCCACCAACAAAATCCACTTCTCAACAAACACAATGGGGCCATCATCTGCCACATTTCTACCCAATTTGTAAGGATTTTTAGGAGTTGGTTTGATGTTGTTTTCCCTCTAAAGTGGGAGATTTCATCATTGTTTAGCAGTCCTTGTTTGTTGTTTTCCCTCTTTCTTTCTCTCTTTGGCTACTTCACCAAACAAGTCTTTGTCCATCAAAACCAAGCTTCCCTCTATTTGTCATTTGCTTCATCTCACTTTTCTTGTGTTGGTTCATAAATATCCATCACCCAAATCCACCCTAATTTGCTCAGACATATGCACGTGCAATTTGTTTTATCCTAAACTCGACTTATGTATATGTTTTACCCAATCTTTCACATATAGGCTTTGATGATGTGAGGTCCCACATTGGTTGGAAAAGAGAACGAAACATTTCTTATAAAGGTGTGGGAACTTCTCTCTAGCAAACACGTTTTAAAATCGTGAGGCTGACGACAATACGTAATGGGCCAAAGCGAATAATATATGCTAGCGGTGAGTTTGGCTAGCGGTGAGTTTGGCTGTTACAAATGGTATCAAAGTCAGACATCGGGCGATGTGCCAGCGAAGATGCTGGGTGCTAAGGAGGGTGGATTGTGAGGTCCCACATTGCTTGGAGAGGAGAACGAAACATTTCTTATAAGAGTGTGGAAACCTCTTCCTAGTAGATGCGTTTTAAAACAGTGAGACAACGACGAAACTTAACACTAATAATACCTTCTAGGAGTGAGTTTGAGCCATTACATAGCACTATACGCAAATTTTACTTTTCAATAATCTTTTTTTTCGAAAAATTGCTATTAAGTTATTTTGACGTGAATCTAATGAATTATAAAGCACGAGTATGATATGAAATTGACGAGACTTCAAAGAAAATTAACCTTTGAGTTAGATTTTTGCTTAAATTTGTTACTTTTAAAAGATTCCGATCGAGTTGGTTACCTGAGCAATCCAAATACAGTTTACAACCCAATCTCGAGTTGGATTGGGTTGTCGGATTGTTTCTTTTTCAAAATTTTAAGAATATTATACTTATCTACAATAGAGGTTATATTAATAACTAAAATCTCATAAAACTTAAGTATCGTACGTTCATAAGTCATAATACATTACTAATATTGATTGTAAATATCAAATATTCTTAACCTTTATTCATACTTTTAAAAAATAAATAAATAAAAAGGAAGAAAAGGTTTTTTTAATCATGAATGAGACACGTGGCAAGCAATTATTAGAAATTGAGAATAATCGTGCTGAAAAAATTGAAAAATTGCCACGTGTAATTCTTCAAACTCCCGGAATTGCCCTTCTGAAACCAAAACGAACGACCCCGCGCAAAGTTGTAGTAACTCTTCATCATTGAAACCGCCAAAAAAGAAAATCAACGAAACAACAACAAAAAGCCGAAGCTAAAGCCTGGATTTCGATTCCGAATCATTGAAATCAAATAGTCATCTTCTTCATCTTCATTGCATTTCTCCGTGGATCTGATCTTAGATTGAGTTTTGCGGTTGCGGTTGCGGATATGGAGGAGAAATTGATTCAACGCCTTGAATCCGCCGTGTGCCGACTTGAGGTACTGTCCAACGGATTCTCCACTGGCAGTCGTTCGTTGGGAAGTGGCGACGATGCGGCGTCGGAGCCTTCGATTTTGGCTTTTGAGGATCTGATTAGGAATTGCGTTCGGAAGGTGTCCGATGCTGCTGAGAAGATAGGAGGTCAGGTCCTTGAGGTCACGAGGATTGTGGAAGAAGCTTTTTCCGTTGAGAAGGAGCTTCTTGTCACGATCAAACAAACGCAGGTAATCGGCTTTTTTTTTATGTTTTTTTTTTCCTGTTTGAACGACGATTTGATGAATTCGTTGATCGATGAGGTCGTTTATCCTGTATATTCGTTTCCGTGGATGTTTAATCGTGATTGGATGCTAAACGAATGAAACAAAAATTTGAGAATCTTCAAAATGTAATGTTAATTTACAAATGTTGGGAGTATTGCTCTCGTGTTAGTTGCTTGGGGAAGATAGCGTCTCTATCTCAAGTTTGCAATGTCTCTCGCTCAGAACGAATAGCTTTATTTGGTCGAATGTTTTCCTGTGTTGCAGAGACCTGATCTTGCCGGATTGGCTGGATTTTTCAAGCCACTGAACGAAGTTATTCTGAAGGCAAACGCATTGACAGCAGGGAGAAGATCTGAGTTTTTCAACCATTTGAAGACTGTTGCCGATGCTCTCTCGGCTTTAGCCTGGATTGCGTATACAGGAAAAGAGTGTGGTGTGAAGATGTTTTTAGTTGTTCCTTCTACGTTAGAAATGGAAATGTATAGTTTCACTCGAACCTTCTAATTCCCCGATTATACTTTTCGTAGGTATGAGCATGCCTGTAGCACATGTTGAGGAAACTTGGCAAACGGCTGAGTTCTACAGCAACAAGGTACACTCAACATGGCACATTAGTTGATATATTCATGATATAAGAAGGAACACTAACCAACCTATGTAAATATGTAAGAAAAATTTTCCTATGTAGCAATACAAACATGATCAAAATGGCTTTAGTAGGTGCTAGACTGAACCTTGTTTATGAATTTGTTATAATCTACAGACTTATTTTTATCATGTTTTCTCCATGGTTTGTCTGCCTTGTACTCTTAGCCAAACCATGATTCAACATAAAGAAATAGATGGGGGAAGAGGACAAATTTAAGAAGTGGATGTATCATTTGAAATTGATAGTCTTGATGCTTGTAGCTCTCTGTGAATTTATTATCTGTGCTAAGTAGCTGGACAAAGTATTTCCAAGGCTGTATTCATTCTTTGTTTTCCTAAATCCTAATCTAGATTCTCGTGGAGTTTAAAAACAAAGATCAAAACCATGTCGAGTGGGCCAGAGCTGTGAAGGAACTATTCTTGCCAGGTTTGAGGGATTATGTTAAAAGATTTTATCCTTTGGGACCAGTTTGGAATCCTGCTGGAAAAATGGCGAAAGCTCCTACCCCAAGTGCTCCTGCTCCTCCACCTCCCTCAGCTCCCCTCTTTAGCACTGAAACTTCTCAAGCGTCAACACGTCCAAAAGAAGGAATGGCTGCTGTGTTTCAAGAAATTAGCTCAGGAAAGTCTGTCACTGAAGGTACAATTGATTATGTTTACAGAATTATATTCTTTAGCAAAAGGGTCTATTGATTTGTATACCAATTATAGATATGCTGCCCTACTTTTTAGATGTTTTTGTTGCATTAAAGGTTTGAGAAAAGTTACTGATGATATGAAGACGAAAAACCGTGGAGACAGAACTGGTATTGTCAATACCAGTGAAATTGGTCAAAGAAATTTGCCTTCTTCGTCGAAGAAGTCAGTTGTCGCTCCCAACCCCAAGTTCGAGCTTCAAATGGGTCGGAAGTATGTCTGCTAATATTATCATCCCTACTGAAGAAAATGACATCCCTGTGATTCGAACACCTCATATCTTGCATCCTTGCAGGTGGGCCATTGAGAACCAAATCGGAAACAAAAATTTGGTTATATCAGAATGTGATGCAAAACAGTCGGTATACATGTATGGATGTAAAGATTCTGTGGTTCAGGTTCAAGGTGATTTCGTTACTTACTCTCTTCTCTCCCACCACTCATTTGACATCACTAGCATGATATTGCGCAGCCACTTCAAAATTGCTCTTGTTCCATGAGCAACTTACATCATCCCTAAAAACTATGTGCAGGAAAGGTCAATAACATAACAGTTGACAAATGCACTAAGTCAGGCGTTGTGTTCACTGTAAGTGTGAAATAAGCAATCCGCACACTATTTCAGTTCATTGAAGTCAAGCTCATAGGAACTAATCTAGACTCGTTTGTTTATGGCCAAAAATAACAGGATGTCGTGGCTGCATGTGAGATTGTAAACTGCAACGGCATTGAGATTCAATGCCAGGTATCTTTTTCCAACGATATGCTCCCATTTTGCATGGCCATATGATGATTTATTATACAAGGCGTAAAGCATATAGTTAAGGGAAACAAAATTATGATATCCGTAGTCAAATTATTTTAATATGTTTGTAATAAAGTAGTTTCTGGTTATTTTAGGGATCGGCTCCAACTATTTCGGTGGATAATACGGGTGGCTGTCAATTATATTTAAGTAACGATTCTCTGAAGTCTTCCATAACGACGGCCAAATCAAGT